ATTCAGGTTTCTTTAGTAGATTCCAGACCTGTCTACCCAGTAATGCTATGTTGAAGCCTTGTAAGTCTCGAAATCCCATCCCACCCTCATATTTAGGGCGACATAATTTCTCCCAGCTCATCCAATGTATTCTTCTTTCCTCCCTTTTCCTTCCCCACCAGAAGCTTGCAATCATTCTTTGGATTTCTTGTAGAACACTTTGAGGTACCTTGAACACTGACATGGCATATAGGGTTTGAGCTTGTGCCACTGCCTTGATGAGTACCTCCTTTGCTGCCATAGATAATAGCTTCCCTTTCCACATCTTAATTTTATCTCTAACACTATCAATTAGCTGTGCAAACACAGCTTTCTTGGCTCGGCCAATTACTGTTGGAAGTCCTAGATATTTGTCATGATGCATAACCCTTTTCATTCCTAAGATGTCTCCCATTCTTCTTCTGTCCTCTTCAATGACATTTGTACTGAAAGAGAGTTCTGAATTGACTAGGCTTACCTGTTGGCCTGAGGCTAGCTCATAGGTGCTTAGTAAGTCCCTCAATGCTTCTCCTTGTTCTTTCTTATTCTAAAAAAAGAATATACTGTCATCCGCGAAGAATAAGTGAGTAATCATTGGGCCATTACTACTCACTTTGATCCCTCGGATTCTTCCTTCCTCTTCTGCTTTCTTTGTTAGGGCTGATAGCCCTTCTGCACATAGTAGGAAGAGGTAGGGGGAAATAGGGTCCCCCTGTCTGAGTCCCCTTGTTGGCTTAAAAATCAGAGTCTGATGTCCATTAATCAAAGCTGCATAACTCACACTAGTAACACAATTCATCACCATTCGAACCCAATCTCCATGAAAACCCAATTTCAGCATTATCCCTTCAAGAAAATTCCATTCTACTCGATCATAAGCTTTGGCTATATCGAGTTTTGCTGCTACAAAACCTTTCTTTCCCATTTTTCTGTTTTTCATAGCATGGAAGCATTCAAAGCCAATCATTATGTTATCTGTGATGTTTCTCCCTGGCACAAATGCACTCTGAGTATCAGTGATGATCTCATCAAGCACTAGTTTTAGTCGATTGGCTAGCACCTTCGACAGAATCTTGTAGAGCACTCTGCATAGTGCAATTGGTCGAAACTCTTTGGGAGAGACTGGTTTCTTTGTCTTTGGAATCATTGCTAGCAGAGTATGGTTCAGGGAGGGAGGAACCTCCCCTGTCAGTAGGATTCTTTGTAGTTCTAGGCATACAGCATCTCCAACAGTCGCCCAGTTCTTCTGAAAGAAGAGGGCTGGCATTCCATCAGAGCCAGGATCTTTGGTGGGTGCCATTCTAGATAAAGCCTCAAAGATCTCCTCTCTAGAAAAAGGTTTTAGTAATTCCTGGTTCATTTGGTCTGTAACTTTAGATTCCACCACATCAAGCACCTCATAGAGACTAGGAGTTGGTTCTGCTGTGAATAATTTCTGGAGGTGATTAGTGAAACAGCCCATGACTTCCTCATGTCCCCTGAAGATAGAACCATCTTCCCTCTGTAGTTCTTTAATTGTATTTCTACGCTTCCTGTTAGAGGCCTTCTGATGAAAAAAGCCAGTGTTCTTATCCCCCTCCTTCAGCCAATCTGATCGTGATCTCTGTTTCCACCTGACTTCTTCCAAGTCCAATACTTCATTAAGTTCTCTCTCTAGTGCTCTACGTTGGATGAGTATAGCTTTGGTTTTTTTCATTTTGGAGATTCTTGCCAAGGCTCTCTCAATTCTCTTTCTCCTGACCTTCAGGTTTCCAAAGGTTCTTTTTCCCCACTCCAATACGACTTTCTCGCAATTTTTGATTCTTTCTTCTAGTGGCAAGTCTGGATCCCTCTGCCATTCAGCCTCTATAATAGAGGCACAGTCTTCATGCTTTTGCCAGAAAGCTTCAAACTTGAAATGCCATCCCCATTTCACTTGTTCCTCCTGTAGGTTCAGCTCAATTTTTATAGGTATGTGATCCGACATCCATCTATCCAGATGATAGACTCTAGCCTCTGGGAACTCAGTCCTCCATTCTGAATTAGCAACAGCTCGATCAAGCCTTTGTTCAAGAAAGTCTTCATCAATTTTTCCATTGTCCCAAGTGAACATGTTCCCATGATATCCTAAATCCTCCAGGTGACATTCATCCAGTGTTGCTTGGAATTCTTCCATATTCTGGATATCAGGTGGATTTCTGCCGTTTTTCTCTTCATAACTTAACACTTGATTGAAATCTCCACATAATATCCATGGTAGATTAGATTGGCCATGGAGCCGCTTTATCATGTCCCAAGTTTGAGGCTTGTTCTCCTGCTCTGGCCAACCATAAATCCCTGTCAGTCTCCATTTCTTTCCCTCTGTTCCCTCTGTAATCCAAATATCAATGTGGTTTTGAGTTGCTGCCTTGACTTCAACTTGCAGCTCCTCTTTCCACATCATTATCAACCCACCTGCTCTATTTCTCGATCCCACCCCTTTTCCTTTTGTCCAGCCTAACTTTTGAATTGTTGCCTCCCATTCATGTTCTTTCTTTTTTGTTTCCATAAGAAACACAATGCTGGGGTCTTGCTCTTTTAGTAGCTCAGCTACTCTTGCAACTGTCGTGGTTTTCCCCAGCCAACGACAGTTGTAACTGATGATGCTCATTGGGCTGGGCGGCCCTGCTCTTTTGCAGGGTCCGCCAATCCGTCATCCATAATCATTGGTTGTCCCACAGTGTTCAGTCTCTCCTCTTCCTTCTCAAAAGTAAGGACTTTTGCTTTTTTGCTCTTAAGTGATTCATCTCCCTCTCTTGCTTCCATCTCTGTGCATTCCTTCTCTGTCCTTTTCTGTGGTGTGATTTGTGTTTTGACTTGGAATCTTGGCACAGTCTGCTCCCACCTCCTCCAAACCCTGTTCATGCTTCTTTTTGGTGGACAGGTGTTGTTTGTACCTAGTACAAACTGTTGCAGTGCTCCACTCTGATCTACTTTTGCTGGTTTGGAACCCTGAGTTGTTCCCTCTATTCCTTGCTTCTGCCTTTTCCTTTCAATATCAGTTGTCTGTTGGTCATTTGCTTGCGGGGTTGTTGGTTTCCCCAAGCTCTCTTTTAGGATCAGTGGAGAGTGCATTTTCCCCTGTGCTCCAACTTTGCCAAATTCTTCTGTCACTTTATTTCCTTGTTCCTTCTCTTCTGGCCTTATCTGTGTAGTCCTTGTAATAGTTTCAGGTTCTGCCATCTCTTCAGATGGTGCTCTTTCACCGCAAGAATTGGAACCGACACTTTCCATCTCTTTCTCAGGGATGCCCATAATTCAACATCCTCTCTCTTTGAGGAGTGTGATAGCCAGTTTCGAGGTCCAGGTGGACTCGTTCGGAGTTCCATTCCAATAGGATCAGGTACCAAGCCTGATGGTCTAGGACACCTCAGTTTTGGATGGCCTATTCTCCCACAGGAGTAGCAGAACATTGGAAGTTTCTCGTACTTTACCAGGTAATCCACCAACTTTCCTCCTATATTCAGTTTAATTTTCTTCTTTAGAGGATTGTTGATGGATATGCTTACTCTCATTCGCATGTAAGTATCCCACATTGTGCCAGAACTATCATCAAACCATACTAGAGAACCAAATCTGTTTGCAATCTTCTCTGCCATGTTCTTAGTTCTCAACTCAGCAGGGAACTCTTTGATTTGAATCCAAATATCGATCATGTGTAGTGCTTCAGGTGTTGGTTTCTTGATAAGCAAGCTCGATATAAAAACCATGATGTTGTTTTCATAATGCCAGGGGCCTCCAAAGCATACCTTGTTTCTGTCATCTTGGTCCAAGAATTGGAACACAAATAGCATATCTCCCAGGTCAGTAATCTGGAAACCCTTCTTTAGATTCCAAGCCTTGGCCAAGGCTATTTTCAGTGATCTGATGTTTGGCTGTTTTTCAGCTAACAGGCGGCCAATCAGACCCAGTTGTCTTACAGCTTCCATTCGGAGAACATCTACATCACCATCCTCCACATCCAACGGTGTATCATCCTCATCTTCTAAGTTTATCTTGTCCAGATCTATCTCTAGACTTTCAGCAGTGCTTCGCAGTTCTTCAGGTTCCACATTGAGATCCTCCTTCCCGTTTCCAGCAGGCTGTAGCTCTTCCATTGTTTCGCTTCAGACTCAAGCAGCAGTCCAAAGTTTCAGTAGTAGCTTGAAAACTTTAGGGTTTGCTTTCCTCGCGTTTCTGTTGCTTCAAGAACTCCTTCTGTTGTCTTTAATATTTCTAACGACTCATATAACATTATTAATGTTTCTAGCAAAAAATGACAATATTTTTTCAATACATTCCTAAATACGGCTATATTATAAATGATTATATTTGTCACAAAAGTCAAAATATTGATTGTGTAGATCTATTTATCCTTTAGTTTATCATCATTATCTTTTTTAATGTAGATCATCTTCATTAGTTTACAAATTCCAAATTACTATGGACCTCTCGCATAACATTTTTGTGATTTTTTTCCTTTTTACAATTATGTCTTATAGTACATTTTGCTAAATCATTTATATAACAATTTACATTGCTATCTCCACTCATTGTAAAGTGCAAGCGAGCGAACCACAACTAGTATTATATTATAATCTATGTTTAAATAATAGGAAAACTTGTTATTATGAATATTGAAGACATATAAAACTTTTATTAATTCCTTTGACTTGGTCATGAAGAGACCGGCTAGCGTAGAAAAGAGCTTCTCTTTTCTCCAAAATAATTATTATAATAAACACTAATGCTTCATAATTAAACTAATAATAATAATAATAAAAGAATTCCTTCTCCTGTTCGTAACAAAAAAAAAAAAAAATCCTTTCCCTGTGCGTAAAAGAATTCCCTTTGTTCATCCTAAATTTCAGTCTCTTCCTATAAATAAACAGCTCCAGGCGTACAGATTCTCATCTCTTCATCCATCAATCAGTAGCTCCCGCTTTCTACGGAGAAGTTAACCAATAGGTCCAGTTGCGGTAACAATGTCGACAGCGGCGGCGGCGGCGGCGGAGAAGAAGAAGTTGATCACTCTGAAGAGCGGCGACGGCGAGTCCTTCGAGGTGGAGGAAGCGGTGGCGATGCAGTCGCAGACGATCAAGCACATGATCGAGGACGGATGCGCGGGCGACGGCATCCCGATCCCCAACGTCACCGGCGGGATTCTGGCGAAAGTGATCGAGTTCTGCAACAAGCACCAGCAGCAGCCTCCTGGATCCGACGCCGCCGAATTGAAGAAATGGGACGCAGAATTCGCCAAGGTGGGCCAGGACACCCTGTACGATCTGCTTCTGGCGGCGAATTACTTGAACGTCAAGGATCTGCTGGATTTGATCTGCCAAACTGTGGCCGACCTGATCAAGGGGAAGACGCCGGAGGAGATACGGAGGTACTTCAATATCGAGAACGATTTCACCAAGGAGGAGGAAGAAGCGATTCGGAGGGAGAACCAGTGGGCGTTTGAGTGATGTTCAGTAGTGAAAGAATCAGCTTTGTGTTTGAATTTTGATGATACTATAAGGGTTTATGTATGGATTCAGCGCAAGAGACAAGGTTACTTTTTTTTTATTAATAATGGTGAGACATATATTAAAGTAAATGAGATGAAAGTTCAGGGGTACAAAGAATCCACAGACAAGGGCATCATCACTAGCACTACAACTCTACAAGAAACAAAAAGAATTAGCGATGGAAAAAATTCGTTGCTAAAAGGTTCTGCTAGTAAGTATCGCCGAAGACTTTTAATAGCCGTCGCGTATACCGCGTCGCCAAAGATTTATGCGAGAATTTAACGAGTCCGTCGCTAATGATACAGTCTCCTCACTGATAGTATGTTTCTGGGACGAGAATACATCATCGCCAGAACGGCTAAATTACATGTTTGGTCACTCAAATTATATGAATCTTTTACGTTTGTCACCCGAATTACTTTTCTTTCTTATTCACTACTAACTTTATGAATCGTTTCACCGTTAGTCACCGGCCGTTACACTCCGTTAAATTTGTCCTACGTGGCAGTCAACTATAAAGTTTGACTGTTAACTAGATGACATGGAAATTAAAAAAATAAAAAATAAATCAATATATTTGTCCACCTCATCATTCCACTTAGATTAATAGTTTGTCACTCTCATCATCCGTTTTTATCATGTTATTTATTTAATACAAAATAATTTACAAAATAAATAATATTATTAATTTAATTTTAATTGAAGCCTACATTTTAAATTCATCCACAAGCCCTACTCAATAATCAAGACCCTTTTTCCCTTTACCCCAACCGAACCCAAAATCCCCTTCCCCTGTCGAACCTCCCCTCCCCTTCCCCCAACTCCATAGCCGCCGCCGAACCCAGCGAACTCAATGAATCTCCACCCAAAACTACCCGGTGCACTATGGCCGGACAATCAACCCCCAGCCCTCAACAAATCATCGTCCTCAATCACCCACCAAATCCGACCCAATCGTCACTCGCCAAGGCTCTCACCCGCTTCTACCTGCTGGCCGGAAGGTTGTCCAAATCTGCAGCCAACTCGCTTCCCATCGTCCGTTGTGACGACGAGGGTGTTCCGTTCTCATCGAATCGGAAGGTTGTCCAAATCTGCAACTCGACGCGCTCCACCAGTTCCTCCCCTTCCCTTCCTTCCTGATCCGCCAACCGTCACTCTTCGAATCGGCACCGCAAATCGCATTCAAGGCCACCGTCTTCCTCTGCGGCGGCGGCGCCATCGGGACCGCGAATGCGGCTGCACACAACGGCGTCCGTCGGATCTTGACCGGTGGAGAATAAATTAATCATTTTTTTTGCAATTTAATTAATTTTATTGAATAAGTGATATGGTAAATCATAGAGTGAAATGATGAGTTGGAAAAATAAATTGATTTATTTTTTATTTTTTTAATTTCCACGTCATCTAGTTAACAGTCAAACTTTATAGTTGACTGCCACGTAGGACAAATTTAACAGAGTGTAACGGCCGGTGACTAACGGTGAAATGATTCGTAAAGTTAGTGGTGAATAAGAAAGAAAAGTAATTCGGGTGGCAAACGTGAAAGATTCATATAATTCGAGTGACCAAACATGTAATTTAGCCTCGCCAGAACTGTTAATTTTTGCGGGTTCTTTTGCTACCTCATCTGGTCCTCCTTGTTTATAAAGTATTGATTAATAAAGGCTTAATTGCAAGTTTGGTCACCCGAATTGCTTAAAAATTTCAAGTTTGTCACTCGAATTGATTTATTCTATTTATAGTCACTCGAATTAGTTGAACAGTCCAAGTTCGGTCACTCTCCGTTAACCTCCGTTAGACTTCGTTAATGATGACCGTTAAGTGATGACGTGGCTAACAGAAAGACACAGTCAGCACATTTAAACATAAAAAAACGATGACCCGACCCGACCCGCCAACTCAGCCTCACCCGCCCTGTCAGCGAACCAACCCAATTAATTGACCCTAAACCCAAACCCGAGACCCAACCCCCTGAATCTAGCCCCCTTCTATAAGTCCACCCCCTCATAAGTGAATCCCTAACCATCTGTTCTCTTCCTCTTTAATCTGCGCGAGAATCACCCCATCCCCATCCACCTCTTCCTTTCCTCCTCCTCCCACTTCACCTCTAACAATGGCGGCTCCCTTCTGTCATTGTGGAGAGCCAACAGATCTGAAGACGAGCTGGACTGAGGCGAATCCAGGAAGAAGGTTTTATGGATGCAGCAGATATGGGGTAAGGTTCATCCACCTTTGTTTCCTTTTTAATGTTACGATTCGACTATTATGCCGCCTTTTTCATCCTTCTATTTTTCCTGTGCGATGGTGTGTAGACAAATGGAGCATGTAACTACTTCAGATGGCTTGACCCAGCCCTTGATGAGCATATGAGAAATGTGTTGCTAAACTTTCATAGTCGAATTCGGGAGCTAGAGAAGAGGCAAAACAAGAAGGTGTCCAAGTTTGATCGGAAAATGGTGTCGTTCATCATTTTAGGAGCTATTGTATTTTCTTTGTTTTGGTTAGGAAAGTGATAAGTCGTCTGTGTAGTTGTAGTTGTAGGTGTTGTAATCGGTTGATGTGTAGCTGGTGTAGTCGAGCGATCTATCTAGTTGTTGGCAATGTGTAAGCTAGTATTATTCCATGTAAGGTCACTTGAATTGCTAATCCATTCCATGTATGATCATTTGAATTGTTAATTCGAAACATGTTTGGTCACTTGAATTGCTAATCCATTTCATGTTTGGTCACTTGAATTGAGAATTTGTTTCATGTTTGGTCACTTGAATTGCTAATCCATTTCATGTTTGGTCACTTGAATTGCTAATTTGGTTCATGTTTGGTCACTTGATTTGCTAAATGGTTTCATATTTGGTCACTGTAATTGCTAAATGGTTTCATGTTTGGTCACTGACAGGTAGGTGAACGAATGGAACAACTAAGGCACGTATTTGTGCAAAAGAACCTTCCAATGTACTGGAAGATTGATAAACCTGACAGTCATTCATAAAACTTAGTCTTACAAGGTCCAAATGATTATTATAGCCTCGATGCAAGTGTTTTTCCAAAAGAGCAATTCACCATAATCTAATAGGCTAGCTAATACGACAAAGCAACATTCAACGTCTACATTTACTAGCCAATTGGAGGCTTCAAAATGGTAATTATCATTTGGACCTAAACTTTATCTAATCTTCACTCGTGCTCTTGAGTCACTTGGCTTACATTTTGCGATCCTCCACATCCTTCTATGGGCTGCTGTGATGCCTCAATCTGTGGCCTCCTAGTAGTTCCCTGCGAAGTTAAAGCAAAATTAGAAGATAGTATGACTTGATTAGAAAGCAAAATTGTAAAATTGAATAAATGCTTACATATGGCATGAGTTGGACAGTGTTGGGCTGACTCAATGGCGCTTTTGCTTCCATCTGTTGTTGCTTCTGTATGGCTGCCAATCTATTTTTTTCCGCTCTTTCGAGCTGTTTCGCCTTTTTAGCTTCTTCCTTAGCCTGTTCCTTAGCATGTCTCCTTTCCTCCACCTGTTTCTTCCTTTCTTCATTATGGAACAATTTGGTGTGCCCAACTACCCCACATGTGGTGCACGCGTACTTCCTTCCTTCCGGCTTTGATGATTCCCTTTCACCCTTCTTTTGTTTCTTCTTCCCCTTCTCATCCTCATCGAGTCCCTTTCTTCGCTGCTTCTTTGGTCTGCCCCTCTTTTTCGAGTTTGCAACTAGAGGGACTCCACAATCCCCCAACTCAGAAATTGGCCAATACTCCTTGCCATTAGTAGGTAAAATGGAGAACTCATATATCTTAGCCGCTGTTTCGCGCAAGTAGCAATCAGCAACATGGTCCTTGATCAGAAGCTTTGCCTTCCTGATTACAGTAATGGCATGTGCACACGGAATGTCGGTCAACTCCCAATGTCTACAGGTACATGTCTTCTTCTTCTTCAGATTGACCACAACTTGGTGGTTGTGCCACCTCACCTCAAATTGACCGTTCCCGTTACTTTCTGCTGACCACTTCAATGCTTCTTCAGTAGTCTCATCTAGCTCCTTCTCAATCTTCTCAGTGAACATAGATGTCCAGCTATCTACCATTTTCCTTCTGTGGGCATATAACACCATCAAGTTTCTTCTAATCCCCTCCCACATACATACAGGACTCATATCCCTCTCTTCTATAATCACATTGTTCCAGCTCTCCACCAAATTGCTCGTATGAATCTTAGAGTTGCAGAAGGTTTGATAATGTGACCTTGTCCAATGGTAGAATGGCTTGTCGATCAACCAATCATATGCTGCCTTGTTGTACTCTGATAGGGCTTGCATTTGGTTGTGAAATTCATGAACCGTTTCTGCTCTAACTGCTGCCCAGAATAGGTTCTTCTTGTTTTGGGACCCCCCACAAGCACCTTTGAAGTTGGTCCACAAGTGCCTTGCACAATACCTCTTCTCACAGGTTGGGAAGAGTCCATCAAGAGCTGGCACTAGTCCCTAAAACACCAATAACACACACTTTAAATTCTGGACAGCAGAGAATTGTAAGCACAAAACAAGGAATAAATAAAGAGAAAGCATACCTTTTGTTTGTCGGACATGAAAGTCCATCCGGGATTGTCCCTAACCTCCAAGTCACTAGATATGAGCTCCAAGAACCACTCCCAATTCTCTATATTCTCCACATGCACATGAGCAAAGGCTACTGGGAAGTACTGATCATTTGCATCAATACCCACTGCTGAAAGGAGTTGACCTCCATACTCATGCTTCAAAAAACAGCCATCAATAACCAAGACATGCCTGCAACCAGCCCTGAAACCCAGCTTTGAAGCCTGGAAACATACATACATCCGATCAAAGTGTTGATTTCTCTGATCGATGATCACTGTAGAACCTGGGTTGCTCCTCCTCAATTCCTTGGCGTAGTGGTATAGCCCTCGGAATTGCTCTATAAAACTGCCCCTAACCTTCTCA